TGTTCAAAAAGTACCCGGAATTACTAATAATTAAATTTCGCGGATCTGGAGTGTCTGATTGTCAAAATTTTTTTTTATTGTGTTGGTATACATGCCCCTAAAGTATGATGAAATTTTCAGCTATATTCACTGTTTACTTTGTCTGTGGTAGTCGCTAAGGTTCGACGTGTTTTTCTGAGCTCGGCGATTTTTACAATGGAAGAATTGAAAAGTCAAAGAATTTGTATTAAATTTTGCGTAAAAAATGAAATAAAGTGTTGCAAAGTGCAAAAATTCACCAGATATGGCTCCGTGTGACTTTTTCCTATTCCCAAAGTTGAAGAGACCCATGAAAGGACGGCGGTTTTCCTCGATTGAAGAAAATCGCTGAGAGTGCTCAAGGACATATCAAAAAGTGAATATCAAGGGTGCTTCGAAAATTGGAAAAAACGCTGGCATAAGTGTATTATATCTGGGGGGGACTACTTTGAAGGGGACCACATTAATGTAGACGAATAAATAAATATTTTTTTGAAAAAACGAAAATTCCGGGTACTTTTTGAACAGACCTCGTATTAAAATAATAAAAATTGTTAGCGGATCTTCTGAAAGTGAAAAAAATTGTTGACGCTGATCTAATTTACTACTGACAATGAGAAATTAATTAATACTAGCTCATAATATATTGCATTTTTATTTATATTTGTAGTAAATCTTGTTATAATCATGTTACTACCTCGCATTAATAATTTCATTCAAATACTCTGATAATAAAATCGGAAATATATGTTTTAACAATCATAAATTAGTATATTTGAAAAAATTTAGTATAAATTTTTCTAGGAAAAAACTCGAAAATTATGCCTTTGGAATGTTATAGAATAAGTCACTTAACACAATTTAATTTAATCATTTGTATATAATTAATTTTTACTTCGATATTTTATTCCATGATTTTTCAAAATATTTATATACGGAGTGTTCCAGACCTTGACATCAAGCCGAAACAGGGTCATTCCGAAAATTTCAAAAAAAAATATCTCACGTTTTACTCGTCATTTTTAGGTTTTTACTTTTATACTCGAAATATTTCAATAATAAAATTATCAAGTGTTTTACTCTTTAACAATCTAGATTCATTACGCCAACTTTATTTATTTATATAAAGTATATTTTTTTTAAAGAAGAGTCTCAAAATCGACCAATTTTAAAAAAATTTAATTCATAGTTCAGCAAAAAGTCCTAATTATTGAAAACTTGGCGCAACAGTGGCATTTTTTACGAAGTTTAAATGAACAAAATTGATAGAAGTTATCCACAATAACTTAAAACTTGTCATAATTTGACCAAAACTAATATATCAACTTTTTTATAGGCACTGATACTTGATCTGAGTACCGAGTACCTAACATGTTATCATTCGATCAAGTCCGCTGCAAAGTATCAAATCATTAAACTTAAAGTAATTTTTAACAGTTTGGACTGCATCTTTGCTAAATACAAACATGACATTTTTTTGTTCATTAAAATGTCTATTTTAAATTCATCTGAATGGACATTCATTTGCTGAATGTCCTTTACTGGACAGATGTAAATAAAAGAGTTAATAATAATAAAAAAAAATTAAAATGTTTACAAAATATTTCATTACCAATACCAGATTATACCTAGCAATGCTAAGCAAATCGGTCTCATAATGCAAGAGATCTGAATAACTAGAAAACAATGGAAAACCCGTTGCTAATAAATCTGGGCAGAAGTTATAATGTTTCCGCCGCTATTGTAATTTTAAAACAGTGCGCGGTTGTTCTCAACGAGCTTTATCTGGCGACCGTGAAAGCGGCAAAGAGCGCACGAAATTGTCTTTGCGAGACTTCTACATACATTTCTTAAGATTCTGTTATGATAAAACACCTTTCTCCAACTTTCTATAATAAAACTGCTATATACAATAGAAATCTAAAAGATCTTTCATAGCATCTTGATACTGCATCGAATTGAATATAAACTAGTTGTAAGTTGTAAGTAGCATTTTGCCTTAAGGCAAGTAACATGAACTTTCCGGATACGTATACATTAGGGCGGGTCGATTTAAAAGTCGTTTGGTTTAGGTACATATGATACTTCGAATACTTTACTATCCATAAATCATATCTTTCACTATTTTCGGATATTAATTCATACACAAAAAAAAAATATTTTGTTTTTTTTTCAATGCATTTCGTCTCTGCGTTTCTATGCCAGCTAGAAGCTGTTATGGCAACGACATTAAAGAGCCGTGCGAAATTTTTCATACTTGAAACCAAAAACGACTTCAGGTCATTTTATAAGTTATACATAGTTATATTCACATATATGATGATTAAATAAAGTTTATAATAAAAATAAATCGCTGATTTTTGTCATATTTAAGTACTGAAAATGATGCAATTTTTGTATGGTGGACCTCTAAGGGGAGGCCTCGGGGGGTAAACCATGAGCATGGATAGATCGGCCTTTCAAAGTTCGTGGGAATTGGTCATATATTTGGATACTATTGGGGCGCCCTAAGTGTGCCAAAACAAGATTTTTCAAAAATTGACCCAATCTTTGGGTCAATACACGGGACATCAGAATTCATTTAAGAGATATGGTTTCTTCGGAAAAGTATATTATTTTGATCCCTAGTAGCCGAAATGCGACTTTTTTACCATACAAATCGACCCGCTTTAGTATACATAATTAATTTAATCAATAAGAATTGAGATTCATCATATTTGGGTAACATGTTGAGCAGTTTTTTTCAAAAATAAAATTTTCGCTTCCATGTCTTCCAAACATACATATAACCAGGGCCGGATTTAGAAATTTGGCGCCCCGGGGCACTGACGAAAATGCCGCCCCATCCCTGAAATTTTACGAACTTTCAAACTTTTTTTAAAGCAATCGCGCTGCTTCAGCTGCGAGGTATATAGAAGCGCGTAAGCGCCGCGTCGCAGTCTAACTGATAAACAATGTTACAGAACTTATATAAATGTAAACAAAATTTATACTTGTTATTATATCTTTGAAATATTTTAATTATTTAATATGTTAAAATAATAATGTGCATATGTCTTATGATCACTTTTGTCCGCCAAATGTTTCTTTTTCAAATTTTTTTTATTGGATCATCGAAACCGCTAATCCTGCCCCCCACAAATTTAAGCAGGTATTTATTCTGTAATTTTTTTTTGAATGTTATTGGACGCTTTTTTCTCAAAAACTTAATTATCATTTTTGGCATTTTGGCCCGTATCTTCAAAACAGGACCTGCCTTGACCAATAACTATAATCAGCACGTCTCCTTATCAATAGGAATTGAATCATAAATCGGTTGATCCGTGTTCTCGAAATCGACTTGAATAATTAAAAAATTTTAGATTTGTATTGATGGGGAGACGTGCTGATTAGCTTTTGGTATCGATATTTCTTATCTGAAACAGCTACGCAGCGCGATTGCTTTGCAAAAAGTTCATAGTTTTAAAATTTCAAAATACAAGGTTGTGTTTTAGAAATCTTTTTTTTCATTTTTCAATGAAATTTAAAGCTCTTTATAAGATGTAATTTTCAGTACGGGAAGTTTCAGTAATTTGTCTTAAGGCACAGTGCCATGAGTCACTAGTTTAAATTTTTTTTTGACGCTATAAGCTTGGTAGTGCACAAATACGTATATTTTAAGAGGGCTCGAGAACTGAAGAACATATTTTTCTTAAACTTTCAGCTTGTTTACGGATCTTTATATTAGCCAAATTGCCAAATTTGATAACTTATTAACCAATTTGATAATTTACGTTCGGAGAGGGAGGCAAGGCAAAATAATGAGTTTTAGTTAACGTTTATTTCAACCCAAATTTTGCATTGCAATCGTATTATGTTTTGTTAATTAGATTTCTTGAAATAAAAAATGTTGTTAAAAAAAGTTGATTATATTGTATAGAATTTTTTCTCACTATCCAAATTTTGCCGCCCCCCAAAATTTGCCGCCCTGGGCAGTAGCCCCGATTGCCCCTACTATAAATCCAGCACTGCATATAACATATGTAATTATATAAATAAAATTTATAAAAAATTATTTAACACGTGTCATTTCATCCATCCAGTTAAGTGTGTACGTCAACTGTAATCAGGAACCATAGATAAGAGTGTACGGAACCTGCATAAGCACAAAATGCATAGATTCTGATTAGAATCGCCAATTCCAATTCCAAACTTTTATGATTTTTTATAATTCAACCGCCTTTCGTAGGCCTATAATATTTTAGTATGTTATTTTATATTATGAAATCTATCGTCAAACAAAATTTCAAAATAGTCGAAAAAAAAACATTTTCAATGTTTAATTACGAAAAACGACCAGTTCGATATTTACCAAAAACATATCGATGCGATTCCCAACCAATATGTTCGAACAGTTTAGAATTTAATCGATTCAAGATTGTGATCTAAAATGTAGACGATAAGTTTACACTTTTTTTCGCTAATTACAAAGAAACGGATTGGCCGATCGTCATGCAAAACTGACCAACGCCAGTCCTTATCGAGTTACAGCGAATAACTCTTAAATTTTAAAATCGGTTCAGCCGTTTTTGAGAAAAAGTCTACTAGAGGCCAAAATTCGGCACACAACCGCATAGTTACATACTTCTTTTTATTTTGGTATCAAACGATTCAGAATGACTTGAAATATCCAAATTACCCAAAATTAACAAGTCGGATTTTCTGGCAAAGACGAATTTCTTCTGCTGGATGATAATAAATATATGTTACAATAAACAGAAAACATATTATATAATAAAAAATATTTATTTATTAACTGGTTGCACATGATATTTATAATTTATGAAAGAAGAATGAGCATTTTTAACATTTAAAATAGTTTGTACCAAGTAGCATTTGGCTTAAATCACAAAAATATTTCATTTTATTAATTTTAATAAAGTACATTATATGCAAAATAAATTAGTAAAACAATATAATTTAAACATTTGCAATCTTTGCTGTGTATAAAACTATATCTTATTAATGAAACTGATTTAAATTCATTTTTGAACTTTGTTCTTATATGTTGTTCGTCATTAGCTAGGAATGTTCCTACATATACTTTAACATTCACCTAAATATATATATATATGTAATCTTATATGTATATAAAGTTTTTGATCTGTGTTGGCGAGGTAATATTGGCTTGATAAACAGTGTTTTTAACATGATGAATGTTCAATTGTTAAATCTTGTGAAAATGTAAATTTGCAATTTCAGCTGTGAATGTTTTCCTGGCTGCCTAGCATGTGTATTGCATCATATGGTGTACTGTATCTAGCGTTTCCTGACATGTCTGTGAATTTTTGTGAAATATTGCACAGTTATAACTTTGTTAAATTATCTATAAATTTATATAGTTAAACTGATTTATTTAATAATACACATAAAGCATCGGGAATAATTTTAAAATTACATGTTTATTTTATGCTTATCAGATATAGAATTGATGATATAGAAAAAGTAGCTATAATTTTTTAAATTATTTCTGTTAAGCTAATTAGTGCAAAATCATTTCATTCCCCTTTCACCGTTCTTATAGAAGTATTAAGAATATCATTAGTACCTTAGTTAAAATATTTATCACCTCTTCAGCTTTAATCTGAATTTCTTCAGAAATTGCTTAATATATCCGAGATAAGCGCCTTCAGTCTTAAGTAATTTAGATCTCTGATCTTTCAAATTATTTACAATAGACATATAACAATTATATATTTAAAGAAAATTATATTATTTCTCATAATTAAATGAAAAAAATGTATCTGTAGATATACTAATTATTCTGTGAAATTAATAACACTTCTTTAATATGTTTATTAAATTTTATAGTATGAATTCCACAAAAATTATTAATGGCACTCAATTCGTTTAGAAATTAAAAAAAAATCTGCATTTATCATTATTAAATGACTAAAATAGAGAATAAGATCTATTATTATTATTAATTAAATTCCTTTATTCTAATTATCATGCATTTGAAGTGCATGTTAAATCCGCGAATTACATTCGGCTTCATTAATATTACAAGCATTAAAAACACTTTGCATGATAACTCATTGCATATTTTCAACATGCCATGCATTAAAAAATATATTTTATAAAATAAGTATGTATTAAAAAATTATAGACTATCAAATTACTTTTATGGGATGTTTTGGTAAGTGCACATGCAGCTGCTGACATCATGTTAGTGTATTTTTAATATCATTTATTAGTATTGAATTACTTAACAAGATTTATTAACATTATTCTGAAACATGCATTTTTGTATGGAATTCAAAATACCTTCACATTGCTAGTGTGATCGTGACTTATGAGAATGTGACATGAAATAGAGAACAAGATGAATAGTTTTTTATTTACATTCGATTTGATTAAAAATCATGAAGTTTTACCATCACTTGTTCTTCTTTTAATAACAAACTGCACAGCTATATGTAGCAAGCATAAAACAAATGCACCAATTCCAAAATAGAGGAATGTGGATTTTCCGCCTACGGCCTTCATTAGAAATCCTCCCAAAAAGCTTCCTAACGATACTCCAATACCTTCAAAAATAGCTCCAACTAGACCCTAAAATGTAATATTCAAAATCAAAAATTGATGATATGAAGACAATAGATATCGTGATGCATTTTGTCCTATAGTGAAATTACATAAAAACTGCTTTCAAACTATAATAGTTAAAATAGAAAGAATAAATATGCTAATTAGTAAGAATTAAAATTGTGTTTAAGTAGAGAATATAAAATTTTTAATTGAACAAAACAAACTTCTATTTTCATAAATGAATTATATGTTCATTAATGAAAACAGATAAACGCAGTTCCCAATTCACATATTTCGAATGAATAAATAATTAATGCAATGGCTTTCACAAATCTAAATAACTATGGGCAAGTAACACTTAAATATTCAAATGTTTATTATGAAGAAACAGATTGATCAAATGCCAGTTGAATTTTATAAATAATGAACTCATATATGAATATTAAAACATAGAAAGTTATCAAGTGCTTTTAAGTATTCAAAATACTTATAAAAATAATAGAAAGTTTTGGTAGTTGGTTACAAAGAAAAGGTCTACTATTTTGTCTGTTTTCACAAAAATCATTCAGTACAAAAAGATAAATCTATGCTTCATCCAGCACACAGTTAAATAGATACTACTACCTTTTCGAAAATTAAAAATAATAATAAATTATTATGTGAATGCTTGAATATTACCTGAACAGTAGCTTCAGCTCCAGGTGGAGCAACTACAGATGCATATGATGCCATTGTTGAATAAAATAGTCCAAAAGTAAGCCCTTGTAATAGTTCTATTGGTAAAACCCACCACGGGTTTACAAGAAATGAATATAAAATAAAACGGGCACTTAATGCAAACAAAACCAATGACATAGCATGTACATGTGATATGTTCTTGATAATCCATCCTAGAAAAAAATAATTTATTGTTCCATCATTTATCACTACAATAAACTGAAAATTTCAAACACAAATTCAATTTTCTAGTTTCTGAATTCATAAACAAAATTGAGAAACGCATTAAGGTCGGAATAAGTTTTTTCATTAAAATTATAATTTGTGCTATTTTATATAGCTTCATAAATAGAATACTCAATTAAATTCAATTTCTCCTAGGTAAAAACGTTTTAAATTTTAAATTTGTAGTTGTCCTTTTTTACTCCCTGAACAAGAAGTTTGTTTTTGCCAGAAATTTCTATTTGTCAATTTTAATATTATTTTATTGTTATTATTATTTGATTAGTTTTACAAGTAATTGCATTTCAGTAATACTATTTCTATTAGTTATATTTACCTGATAAGAAAAAGAATGGTATTTCTCCCCCAAAACATTGCACTCCTAATAAAAGACCTTGCAATGTTTTCATCCATGAAGCTGTATTGCAACCTTCTAAATTGGCTGCCAAATCTTCTAAATGCCAAAATAGAAAATTCCATATTATTGCAGTTCCTAGCCCAACACTAATACACCATAAAGCAAACACGGCAATACGTGGTGATTTTAATAGCATTCCAGTGTCTCGCAAAATACTCACCGACGTTGTGCTTTGAGTATACTAAAAATTTTAACACATTGTTAACAACAATTCATTTTTCTTAGTTACTTTTGTTATACCTTTAATTGATTGGAAACGATTGAGCAAATAAGGAGCACAAAAAAAGCTAAATAAAAAACTGCAGAATAGTCTTTCTTTGCCTGTCCGGAACTCATTTCATCAACAATGAGTCCAGATATCACAGAAAATACTCCCCAGCCAACTGCACCCCATAATCTTTGATTGCCATACTTCTGAGGCTCATCACCTATAATAAAAAAGATGTATTAAATAGAAATTGATGGCATTTTATTCTTCAGTAAGTGAATTATTATTACTTGATAATTTTCTTTTCACGGCGTTTCAAGTCATTCTGAATCGTGCTTTTGGTCAAAGGCCAAAATTGAAAAAAATACTGAAGTAGGCAAAATATGGCCTTTTGTGAATTTGATAAAACTCAATAAAAAACTACATTCTTTACTTTTTCGCGACGATCGGTTCAGTCGTTTCTTCATAATTAACTTCCCGTAGCGTAAGTTATAGTAATTTTAACGCAAATAAATCGAAGATGAAAATTTTTATTACCTTTACGTTTCAGAGATTTCTGAATATTTTGGCATACCTTAGAAAAAATTGATGTATGTGTGTATGTTCGCATACAAATCTTCGTCGACGATTTCGAGAACACGGTTTAACCGATTTGAATGATTCAAAAAAAAACATTCGACTCCTATTGATAAGAAGATGTGCTGATTGGTCAGGGCAGGTCTAGAGGTTTTGAAGATACTAGGCAAAAAGTATCAAAAACAGTAACTCGGTTTTTAAGAGAACGGAGGGTCCGATTTTAATAATTCAAAAAACATTTTACTCGTATTGACAAAATGAAGAGCCGATTAAATTTTTGGAAAGGCAGGTCTAGCGGTTTCCGAGATAGCGTAAAATAAAAGATCATTTGGCGGTCAAAAATCATTAGACATAAGCACATCAAATTACTTTTTAATAAGTATAAATTTAGTTTACATTTCTATGGGTTCCGTAATATTGTTTTTGTTAGACTGCGACGCAGCGCTTACGCGCTTCGATATTTTCATTTTTTGAAAAAAGTCCATTTCTATTCAAAAAATTCAAAATTCTCAAAAATCGAATATTTCAAAGTTTAAAAAATAATTTTAATCTTTTTAAAAAATTTAAATTTTGGCATAGTAAGTTTCACCAATTTGCCTTAAGGCACGATATATCACTAATAGTTATTTTTTTTAAAGATTTTAATGTGTAAACTAACAATTTAAAATATCATAAAAGTACAAAAAATGATTCAATTACTAAAAAAAAATACATACAACGTGTATGTCGTGATAGCGCGCCTTCGTGCATTTGAGTAGATAAATGCTTCCAAAGCAAATTTCCGATCATTTTTAAATAATTTATGGTATTTATGCTATATGTCGAATGAAACTGATATCACTGGCAAGTTTTTACAACAGATGCAACAATATTTGGAACCCCTACTCCTTGCAGATTGAAAACCAATGGAATTAATGGTTTGTTGTAAAAAAAAAATGAATAATATCTAAACTCAGGGACTTGAAAACATAGTTCACTAATTAAATTACCTAGAATTCCAAAACATATAGCATCGCCAACACTGACAACCACAGCCATTCCAACCCAACTCGAAATCAGCAAAGAAAAGAACAACCAAAACTGATATGATTTCATTATCTGTTAAAGAAATATTAAACATTAAACATAAAAGATTAACTTTTACTCTAAATGATTTATACAATAACTTTGCAATATTTAAATCAACAAATACATTATCTTGAATACTTACATGTGGATTATCTATGACGTCTTCGCTTACAAAATTATCTATAATTGTCGAATTGCATTTGACTTTACACATAGGGTGGAATAAATGTGTATGATTATCCTTAGGGCAGAAAGCTACATGTTCTTTTTCTATAAAAATCAATTTTTCCATTGAAAATTTTAAAAACTATGGTAATATTGGTAATATTAAAATTACTCCTGTTGGTAATATTAAAATCTTAAAAACTATGGTGAAATTATATAAAAGTGAATAATTTAAAAATAATGTTCATCTTGACCCAAGTACATGATGTTTGATTATATGTTCAGTTTACTATATGGTATCATCTCATATATTTTAAAAATACAAGAAAATAAGTTGATCTTTTAGTGACTTGAGAAATAATATATTAACACTGTCAATCATTTAAAAACAATTTTGTTCTTTTAATGTAAAAAAATTATTCAATTAAATAGAATATACACCGATTAAATAGAAAATAACTCAATTGAATAGAATAGAATAGAATAGAATTATTTCAAAGTTTCCAATAAATTATATATGCATCTTTGATTAAGTAGTATACAAACCATCTTCCATAATGACTTTTTTAACTCTGAAGTTCACACATTCTTTGTCTTTCAATGTGTAATTTAGTTGAATATTTGTTTTAAATATCAAATTTTCTAAAATATGTTTACTACACAGCTCACTAGCATTCCAATGAAGACACACGGTATCCCATAAGTCACTATTCATTTCACAATTTACCTATAAATTTAAATAATATCCATTAGTAAAGAGCATTATTAAATAAAAAAAAAAAACATTTTGTATTAACGTACCTCACAAGACATAGTGCCATCTAGAATTGTTATGTTTGTTTGATCAACAGCACAATTTGTGCCCGTGGCTTGTGGGCAATGCTTTAAAAATGAGGTGCCGTCCCCACAGTCGAAACTCATTGCCACTTGTTGCTCTGATTCTGGCACATACAGAATACTTAAGAATGAAACTGCTGTTAGTATTTGGAAAAGGATGAACATTGCCTTTTTCAAGTTAAATCTGAAATAAAATCAATTAGTTTTAATTTCAAACTTTCAAATAAAAATTAGAAACATCCATACTGTGAAGAGTGAAGGTATTTTAGTAGAGTAATTTAAAATGATCGGAGTAGATGAATAAATTTACGAGATTAAAATTATTTGTAGAAGATTTAATAGTGCTTTCTTGTTTAAGAATAAAGTACTGCTTTAAGCAAAAAATTTAGAAAATCATAAATATCATTATTGTAAAAAGCAAAAGTAAGTTTGCGGTGTACTTTAAAATCATAAAATAAATAATGTGTTGTGTGATTTGATTTTTTGAAGGACCAATGATTTGTTGTAGACACTTTAATAGTAATATTAATTATATAGTGTTTATTTTTAATATAACTACAAATAGTATTTGTATTTACAATATTCTCAAAGTTTAATGTATTGTATTGATTGATTTTATTTAAGATTTTTGATTAAATCTGTTTTGTTTTTTTTTTTATCATAATACGGGATGCTTTGATTTGGCATGAACAGTAAGAGTAGATGTATAAATGTATGAAATTTATAAAAAATTTATTATATATCGTTTTTCTAAACAAGTATAAAGTACACCTATTCTCAGTATTACACAATATTTATTTTACACTTTTCGATTTTATATGGTTTTTGAAAATATTAATTTTTTTGACAAATTTTTTTAATTTTGCATTTACTGTAATTACAAACACTAAACTATCTACAATAACATTTTCATTGTTTTACTATCCAAATGTTTTATTAAACAAAAAACTAGAAATTGAAAGAAGGGATATATCTTTAAAAACCAATAAAAATCCTAAAATTTTAACAGTAACTCCTTAAAACAGATTTTTTTTATATATATTTGTTTCATTATTGAAATAACTTAAATATTCTTATAATTTATTAAATGTTTTTGATATTAAATATATTTATTCTTTGTTGAGTATTCATCATATTAACGACTGACAAAAGGTTTTTTTATAGTGATTTTTGTTTAGCATGGTTTTACCAATTAAGAGTAAATTTTTCCAATAAACATGGATTTTATGGAACTTATCTTCCACGTAAAATGGATTATTTAAGTGTATTGCTTGAAATTTAAATATAAAAAATTCTTAATATCAATACTTACAATTCAATCAATACTTAAAACTTCTTAATATCAATACAATACAAGGTTGTAGAATATTTTAAAATGATAGAATGAAAATAAGCCGAAGATGAATAAATGGAAGATATTATATACAGAAACGTCTTTTGTACATAGATATAAAGTATTGATGTAGATCTAATTTTAAAAGAAAGAGTAGATTAGTAGTATAAACAGAAAGGTTTTCTGTACAAGGATATAAAGTATTGATTTAAATCTAAATTAAAAAAAAGAATAGATTAGTAGTATAAACAGAAAGGTTTTCTGTACAAGGATATAAAGTATTGATTTAAATTTAAATTTAAGAAGAGTGAACATTAAGTGAAACATTATATAAAATAATGTTGAGTTAGACCAACAATTGTCAGTCACTAAAACTATTCGTAGGCAATGTTATAAACATATTACAGTTTTTTATATTATTGCACATTACACAACTCTACTTTACAACATAATAATACCTATCAGCAATAACTCCAAAAAGTGGTTTGGCTAGCATACCCGTAATAGGTAGCACAGTATATATTGTCCCGACAACAACACTGGAAAAACCTAATTGTTTTGCATAAGTCGGCAAGAAAGGCACAACAGGAGCAGTACCTAATTCAATTAAATTAATTAGATGCAAAATTAACAAGTCATCTTTGCATGAATATATTACCTGCATTGAATAGGAAATACTGTCCTTTCACTGGCAGTAAATCTTTATTGATTTTCAGGCCCATTTTGTTCTTGTTTTATTAACAATTTGTTCATGAATGAATTAAGTATTAATTATATAATACGTGTTCATAGAATTTGTTTGCTGTTTAAACAAGATACTTATATTAGGAAGACATAACCTATATTGTACATTTTTTCGTACAGTGTAATACTAATACTATTGTGTATTTTAAATTTATCTAGCTTTTGTATGACAGAATTCTGTTATCAGTATTATCGTGCACGCACGAATATTGGATTACAATTACAAGAGGTATCAAGTGTAGCATTTTATGAAATGTAAATAACTAAATGAGCTGTTGATGTTGAATGTTGATAAATTGAAATGTCATAACATAATTGTCACCATTGTCACATTTGTCGCATGTGCCAAACAAATGGAAACGTACACTCGGAACATATGTCAGCATAATAGAATAACCGTTTTTTTTTCAGTTTTAAAGACGTCATCATTAAAATCTATATACATCGTTATAAATTACTCAATGTATCAAAGTATGTTTGTATTACTTTTTTATATTGGGATTCAGAACAACCGGGATTTATAATTCCCGTTTTGTGATTTGTTTACTTACAGTCTGTAAGTAAAAAAAATGCTAGGCATATTTTTTACACTAGTTGGTTGAAGCTTTTAATTTTTTCTGATTATGGATTCAATCTTGAACTTCACATCTTGAAAGTAATTTATCATTGCTGAGATCGTCGTAAATCGGTTTAAAAGATTTTAAAACATCAGGAGTGTAAGTTACAGATATAGATTTTAACTAGTGGGGCGCATGGCATCGTGCTTTAAGGCAAATTAAATGTTTCCAAACAGATTATTATAAATTCTGTAATATCGTTAAATTTTTATATATTATATAAACTGAATTGCAAAGTTGAAATTATTTGTTTAAAGTATATTAGTATTTTAGTCAGAATTAAAAATTAAATCTTAATTGTTTTATATATACAAAAAAATCTTTTTGAAAAAAAAATTAGAAAAAAAAAATTTGAAACATTTTTTTTTCCAAAATCAATTATTTTGTTAAAACAAGCAGAAAGTTCTTCGAATCATTTAAATGGGACACTTAGTTCTCTCAAAAACTGCCTTTTTTTTGCACATTCAGCTCTGTATCTTCGAAATGGCTGGGCCTGCCTTTGCCAAAAACTAATATAGCCACTTCTTCCAATCATTACTAATTGAATGCTTTTTAGATGATTCGATTTTTATTTTTGGACGATTACAATATAACTTATGCCCTACGGGAAGTTAAAAAGAATATAATTTTTTTTTGAAATAAGTATATCATAAATATTTAACTTTAAGAGATTTTCTTTTTGCCAAAAAACCCACTTGCTAGCTTTGTTTTGTCGTCGTTCCAAATCATTCTGAAACGTTTGGGACTAAATTATGCAAATGTGTGTAAACCAAAATATGACATTTCTTAACACTTGAATAAAAATGGCTGCACCCACCTGCACCGATTTGAAAAACCTGATAAAATTAGAGACTCTCGTTGTTTTGTTTTGCGTGATGAGCGGCAGAGCCGTTTCTTTTATAATTTGGCGCATAATTTTTTGCCCACGCTTTCGCCAAATATGCTGAACTGATTTTAAAAATTCAAAAACTGTTCGAACAATATCAGTTGGATATGGTGCTGGTTAGTTTCCGGTATAGACGATCCGCCAAGTTGTTTCTTTACAATCAATTGTTGATTTTTTTTTTTTGACAATTTTGACTAAACTTTGTATCATTATAAAAGTTTATTAGATTTAACCAAAATCCGAAATTATTATATGTCTACGAAGTGGTAAATTCATAAAATTTCGGAGTAATAAGACTTGTAATAATTATAAATCTTATCGTCATACTTTTAATAGATTAAATTTGCCTTCAATAATTATTATATTAATAATTAATATATTGCTTGACTTTAGTTAATAAACTAATGGACATACTATTGCAACTAAATATTAACAATTATAGTTGTAAAAATTACGGATGTTTTATGAGCCGTTTTAAAAAGAATCGGACAAGTAGGTACACCAAACATAGACCTTATAATACATTTTTTGAAAAAAAAAGTATTTTAATTATTTCTTCAATATATTGAAGTTTTTCTTATATTATATTATCATGCATGGTGATAATATAATATAAGAAAAAACTGCAGGGACCACTGTTCACATTTTCAAATGTATTTTTTTTTTTTTTTGAATCAAGCTATTTTTTAAAATTCAAATTCCAGTTGCTTTTGTATATACGAACACAATTGGAACAAACAAATGTTTATAAATAGAACTTATGCTGCATATATAGTAGATACAATGTAATATTGTTAAGTTCAACAATCTAACATTTCCTTCTATTATTATTATTCACATTATTTAAGTGAATAATTTCACTCATTCTTTACTGCAATAGATTTTAGTTTTTTTTAGTATTTACTCTTTTTGAAAAAAAGTGCATAATTCTAATCGCGGCACTCAGAAACTGCAAAACTTTATGCTTTGAAATTTACTGCTAAGAAAGTTGTCTCTTAAGTTTTTCTAATTTAAATCATGAAACTTAATATAACTTACTTATAATTTGCAAAATTATTCAAAATCAATTGTTCATTTAATTCTAACTAAATCTAATTCTGAAATTGCTAGCAATCAAGATGTTTCAATTAATACACAATTAATATTTGCCCAAATCTAATCAACAATTATGGTTTACTATAAAGAAATTTTCTTGGCTTATGTATATAAAAATTGAATCTCATTTTCGGAATATAAAAACTTGCAAAGATCCTAGACTATCTACTATTTGCAATAAAAAAAAAACAAATATTATTAGGTAATGTTATTGGAAAGTTTAATTGTGTTACGTATGGAAAAAGTATGCACTTGAATATACCTAATAAATAAATAACTACAATTATATGAATAGTTTTCTAATTTTTTTCTAGTTTTACATATTTAACAGAAAAATACAAAACAAATTTCACCAAAACGTTTACAAATGCACATTTTAATCACTGCGGATTCAATTTATGATGTTCTCCATATATTTTATGTATTTTGACCCATTTGCATTTAATATTTTCCTTCCCTACATCTTCTAGTAAACTCTCACCTAACGGAGATTTGTGATTGATTTGGATGGAATCAATATCATAGACTATGTCAATGTTCCTCAAATATCTGAAATAAGAAAATGTATACATTAATGCATAAGCGTAATAATGCATAATACAGACCACTTATTGTGATTCTTCATCAAAAGCATAAGGCAATAATGTCTTGCTTAAATTCATGAGATACATCGCAATATAAAACTACAATATAATCTTCATATTGTAATAAAAAAATTCATACAAGTATTTTTAGTACCATCGATAATAATTGAAACTAATTATAAGATATAATGTTCAGTTTTTAAAAAGTTGTAGAATCAGGAAAATTACATCATTTTTCCTTTCGTCATATTATTGAAATACTATAACAAAACTCAAATATAGTACAAGTTATAAATATTTTTGAACATCGAACAATTCATTTTTATGTTACTCATATGTAATAAGTATTGAAATGTTTTAAATGCACTATATCTTTTTAGCATAAAACAAGAATAAAATAATTTCGTTGTATAAATAGGTAAAATCTTTTCAATAAATACTAACTTTTCAATGCCATTCCATGCAATCATAATTCCATTATCAGTACATAATTTGGGGTTTGGTCTGAATATTTCGTAATCCATTTCTTTGCAAACAAGCGATAGAGCATCATATATGAAATTATTACATGCCACACCACCAGAAACAACCTAAGAATATAGTATATTGTAAATAATACTATTAACTTATCAGTTGATATAATTAAAACATCATACTTTATTTAAATGAATCCACTCACCAATTTAGCATTATCTTGTGGAATTAGTTGTTTTAACCTACAAAAGTCCATAGCTCGTTGCGTTCGATGGCAAAGATGTCTTGCAACAGCCATTTGGAATGAAGCACAAAAGTTTTTATAATCCGGAATAATACCGTCCGGACTAACACCTATAAGAAATTGTAGACAATCCAAAATCCATTTATAATACCTTAAATTTTAAAAATCTATAACTTAAACTATAGAAGCATAAAAATAATTAACTCTAATTTTATATTAAATTAGAAACATTTACAGGAAATTAAAGTTGAATTTAATAACCAAACTCATAAGGTGTAATCTAATTATCATATTTCAACCAAAACTAGCATAAATAGTTCTAGCAAAGTAGGTACAAATCAGAAATTGTAGAACAAAATACAATTCTTCAATAATTATTATTGCCAATTATAATAATGATTTATTGTATCTTCAGAAACTAATAATTAACATTAGGATTTTAATTAATGTGCGCACTAGATTTTTAAATTTGAATTTTACTAAAATATATTCATTAAATGATTATCCTAAATTAAGTATTTAGTTTACTTATCATAAAATAAATTACCCAAATTCCTCTCCTCTGAAACAATATGTCTTCGAGCGGTGTTTTTAAGACCGGCAAATGAAAAGCAACAGTCGTTATGATGTTTTAACAAAAATGGAAAATCATATTTGAATGGATTATTTGCACCTCTTGCTGCTAACTCTATTGCTTTACCACCAGACAAATTTTCAAACCCTTTCAAGTTATTTAACTTCAGTCGCCTAGCTGTCTGTATTCAGATGAATTAGTGAATTTATTTATATACAATATGATATATGTAAGAAGGATGAATTTATAATGAGAATACCTTGTCAAATGCCTCACCAGGTGCATCATCATATGAATCACCGAGCAATAAAATTTTATCAATATCTTGGAATACAGCTAATAAACTATGGCCACCACTGCAATTGAAAATACATATTATACTTATAACAGAGAAAATTAAAGTTACTGAAATGATAATCGTAATTAATCGTTATTTAATAAAGTTTTGTTTGCAGTTTCTTACAATATTAATGCTTTCCAAATTGAAATAATAAATTCTAATAAATTGAATATATATTTTTAATATGAAAATGTAAACTTATGAAATCCTTAAATTTCATAAAAAGCCAAGTGTTTAGGTTCCTTTTCTTTATCTTTAACCATAAACATTGCTTCCTAATTTCTAATCCTAATTCATTATACTATCAGAATAACTAGAGTAATACATACTTATTAATCTTATTGCTAGAACAAATTAAAATAATTATAATAGTAAAATTAATTATACAGCTAATCATATTTTTTATATATTACCTAATGAGTAGAACCAGGAAAGGAAATTGAATTTTTTCTCTATTACCCAGTCGTACTGTTAATGCATGAGCTTCCATATGATGAACGGGAATGAGAGGTTTTCGGTGTTGTCGAGCTAAGTGTTTTGCAAAGCGTACACCAACCATCAAACTTAGGGGTAATCCTGAATAAATAAGTTTATAATTGTAATTTAAAAATATGTATATATCAAGTGTAATTTCTTCAGTAATCTTATCTGAATTTAATTTTATAAGCCAAAAAAATGTACTTAATACAGAATGATAAAATGTTAATACATTTCTGTACACCTCTATATTTGAATATGATACAATCAACTTTCAACTAATATATTTACAATTACATATTGTCAAAAAATAAAAGTACTTATGAAAAATAAAACTATTTTTGCTGGATAAATAAACCTATAATGAATCATTTCTTGGCACAATATTCTTGCATGCTTTTGACAAAAGTCAATTTATTAGTTATGTATATTCTACCTGGCCTATTGGTAACAGCAATGGCATTAATATCCTGCAATGAAATGTTGGCTTGATGTAATGTCTTTTCAAAGACATTTTCAATATGTAATCGATGCTCATTTTGGGCCAACGGAGGTATGATTCCACCATTTCTATACAATTCAAATCAATCAAAAATATATGTTTATTTGATCATTTCATTGATGAAGACTATAGGAACATACTTTATATGAAGAGCTTCTTGGCAGTGGACTGCTTCACCTAGAATATTTCCATCGGTGTCCACAATTGCACATCCAGTGTCGTCACATGATGTTTCAATTCCTAGTATAAGTGCTTTATTACTGGAATTAGCTGCTTGTTGATAATTTGATTTCAAAACATTAGTTTGTCGTACCAGTTTCGTTAAGTAGCTATATTTTGTAAACATTCTGTTGATGAAACGCAATCTATTTTTTTTTATTTATGCAGAATTGGGCTTTTACACATTTCATTTATGTGCCTTAAATGATATGGTTAAATGATTGAATTTTGAAAAAAAACAAGGAATTTATACTATTATGAGTAAAGTGAAGAAATTTACTAGTAATTTATTTGATTTGTCCGAAACATATTTATTTGAATTACTTTCTAACCTAAAAAAAGCTCATTATTTTGTTTCTGTCAACTAATCATTGCTTTGACAGGAGAAAATCCATCCAGTGAAATTGTCAACTCAATTTTAAAGGTCCTCTTTTATATTCATTAAAAATAACACAAACTAGTGGTGCATGGCAACGTGCCTTAAGGCAAAATGCTGGAACTTCCCTTACCAAAAATTAAATTAAAAAAAAAAAAAGTTATTGGAAATGAATTTTTTTTTATTTTGAAATATTTTGGAAATTTTGAACTTTTTTTCAAAACAATCGCACAGCTTCAACTGCATCGACGATATCGAAGCGCGTAAGCGCCGCATCGACATTTAGCGGACAAACGACGTTACGCGGAACCCATAGAAACGTAAAGAAAATTGATACACATTAAAATCTCCATGAAATATCTGATCATTTGATGTGCATATGTCTAATGATCATTTTTGATCGCTAAATGGCATTTTTTTTTTACTTTTTTTTACTGGATCTCCTAAACTGCTAGACCTGTCATCCCAAAAATGTTTTTAAATTATAAAAATCGGTCGCTCCGTTCTGTTAAAAACTGAGTTACCGTTTTTGGCACTTTTTGCCCCATATTTTCGAAACGGCTAAACTTGCCTTAGCCAAAAACTAAACACAACTTCTCCTAATCATTACAAATTGAACGTTTTTTGGGTCATTCAAATCGGATACTCCGTTCTCTCAAAACCACGATTTCTATTTTCTGCACTCTTTGCCCCGTATCTCTGTAACGGCTGGACCTGCCTTTTTCAAAAACTAATCAGCACATCTCTCTATCAATAGAAATTGAATGTTTTTTGAACCATTCGAATCGGTTGATCCGTGCGCCCGAAAACGTGAACGAAAAAATGCGGACACACAAAACACACACACATCCATTTTTTCTGAGGTGTGCCAAAATGTTCAGAAACCTTCAAAACGTGAAGATTTGTAAAAATTTTCATTTTCGATTTTACTTTACTATAACTACCCTATGGGAAATTAAAAATTCTCAATTGTGCTTCAGATCAATTTTTTGTTGTGTTCAAAATCAAGCTGTTTTTACTAACACTTCGAAAGAACCTCATGTAAAACTTCCTTTGTCAATACAATAGTCATGCATAGGTTTTCCTAAAAAAAGGATAAATATAAAAAAATTTAATATTTATATGAGAATTTTTTTTCTCATATGGATTAAAGAATCAAGTAATTTGAGTAACAATTATATTTCTCATTATATGATAAATATATTAAAAATAAATCATTCTGTATAATTTGGTATTATATAATTAAGTCAAACTGGGGCCTCGTTCAATCAGACTTTGCTTTAGTTTTCGTACGGTCTCAATTTCATCTACTTCTTCAGTTTGTGATTGATCATGCAAATCCAAAACTTCTCTTATTGTTTCTTTCACTCTATTAATATCACTTGAATTAGTTTTAGCTGATATTGGTAAAATATGGTCAAACTGTATCACTTGATTTGGTAAAGCTTCATTTGGACACATGTGGAGAGAATCTGCAAATAACAAAAATATATATTAAACATTCAGGTCTAATACTTTCATACTCTATATATCACTAAAAATAATTAAGCAAACCTTGCAAGTTAAACAAATTGTCTTTAATTTTTTCAAATTCTTCCTTCGCTATTTCCTTATCCATTTTATTTACTAAGAGTATGGCAGGTTTTTCTAATAAATCTGGTTTATACAATTCTAATTCCTTATTGAGTATAAAGACTGTTTCAATACAACTTCGTTGTGGATGCTTTCTTGATAGTTGAAATCCTTCAATATCACAGATTAACAATAAAAGTTTTGTTCTTTCGACATGCTTCAAAAACTTATGTCCCATTCCTGTAAATTAGACTAAATTTATTATGACTTTAATATAAAACAAAATCTTATGCAAATTCAATTATGGCAAATGATACAGAAATGTCTTTATATATTGAAAAACTTTCAAATATGTGAGAATAATGATCATACCCATATTTGCATGTGCACCCTCTATCAGCCCAGGCAAATCGGCCACAGTTATTTGTCTTAAATCTCTATATTCCATTACTCCTATATTTGGCCGAATAGTGGTAACTGTTCAAAATCAAATTTAAATAATTACTTTATAAAGTGAAGCTTTAATATATTATATTTTAAAAATATATTTGAAACTATCTACTTTACATGGATAACTAGCAACTTTTGGCTTAGCTCTAGATATTGCTCTCAAAAGAGTGCTTTTTCCTGCATTTGGTAAGCCAACAAGTCCAACATCAGCAATTAATTTGAGATCCAGTGTTACTGAATAAGCTTGCCCCTTCATTCCCAAATAATTGTTATAAGCATTTCCGCCAAAACCACCTCTTGCTACTACACATGTTTTACCTTCTTCATCCATGTCCTCTAACAAAAAAATTAATCTTATAATTCAAGTTAATTATCTATGTTTTATTTTTAACATTGTCAAATACCTATAAGTTTTCCATCTTCTCGAATAACTTTGATTCCAACCGGTACATCTAATTTTAAATCATTCCCTTTTTCACCAAGAATTTTCAATCGTGTACTGTTCTGTCCGTGTCCGGCAGCTAGCCTTTTCTGTGGCCATCTAGAATGGTTAAAAGAAATAACAACTGTAAGATTGGAAATTCGAATAGAGTCTTAGGGCAAACATATAATACATATTCATAATAATACTATGAATCATATAAGATTAAGGTCAAAATCACTTAGACCATGTAATTATTTAGTATTATTAGTATAGTATTGTAGGCACTTACATAAACAAAGGTGATTTGTAATTTGGGCAAAAATAAATAGTCAACAAAAGCCGATTTTGTTAATTAAATAAATTCACAGAAAATGAAGTTAAACCAGGGATCTTTAAATAGCACATGCCATAATAATGAAAATATACATCGTATAATAAAATGTTTATGGTTAAAATCCCACATTGAATTACTTCTTAAAAAGTATATTTTCATAAAATTATTACACAATATTATTACTATCAAAGCTCTTCCCAAAGGCAAGTGCTTTGCATTGTTAATCATTATTATCTCTTGTTTATAGTTCATAATTTGTTCTATGTAGAGAATTTATTTGGAAAACCTGTCAATTATCAATTGTTGTGTACAACAATACAAAATTTATCTTTCATCTTGTTATTTACTTTTGTAATACTCCTTTGAGTGTGTTTTTTGAACTAGCTTCAAAATAAATGCATCCGCCTTGACCACCAACACCACCATATTTGGGCAAACCATTTCCTCCAGTACCTCCACGTACATGAAGACGCAAAGAGTCGATTAATTTGCTTTTCAAATACTGCCTAGCCTTAAAATGACAAAACTCAAATTAGTATTTCAAATAGTCTAAACACAGACTCGTTAACAAATGTTTGTTTTTATAGTCTCGATTGTAAAATCATTGACCAATAAAACTAAAGTATCTAACTAGATTGTTGTTAGAATATTTCTTAAATCATCAATAATAGGTTTGATAACAGGTAGAATGAATAATTAATATAGTTTTAATGTTACCTTCTTCTGAGGAAAACGTAAAGCCTGATATAATAACACCATTATACAGTTTACATAAAAAAATTCACTATACCATAAATGTTACATATATTTATATTTTTCACTATCAGACTACATAAACAAACATTTAAATTATTTTTGATAATCATTTGTATAATTCTTGCAACTTTATAGGTTAATTTTTCACGTTCATAAACAAGTTTTAGTTTAAGTTTTCATTTCCCACAATAGATGGCCATTGAGTAATAACAGGCGCGCAAACCAATCGAGCTTTTGTAAAGTATTATGTTTTGTGTAAAGATGGAAAAAGTGTTTTAGGATATATCAAACGAAATGTTAAACGAAAATAATATGACGAAAGCAAAATAAATATATAATATAAATTAATATGATGAGAGCAATATATATATATATATCGTAGCACAACGTTAGAAAAAATTGTTTGATCGTCGTTTTCCGTAAAATATATTTGTTTTCAAAACGTATTCCCTGCAAGTCAGTTTCTTGCGAATATCCTTCGAAGTTCCTGTTGGTAATCTATTATTAATTTTGTTTAAATATTTAGAAATATTTAAAAATATTATATAAACTAGTAGCGTGTTGCAATCTGTTATATCAACTTTATTTTATCAGTTAATTGCAAGGAAACTGCTAGATTGATATTTACCAAACTTCATCAGTGTTATGTGAAGTTGTCAGAGGCGCCAAATACAAAATTTGAAAAAAGAGATGAGTATATGAGTGTAAACGAAAATTTTACCTTTGTGCACTATTTCAATGAAGTAACTGCTTTTAATCCACATTTTTTCAAAAATATAGAAGCACATTTAATGAATCTAATTCATTTAGTGAAACTTGCGTTGTTTAGTTTATCTGCTTTTTAGTTTGCGTGCCATTAAAATTTAAATTTTTTGGCAAACTTTGTAAAAAAAATGTATTGAAAGTAGATAGAAACATGTTAGTTGTAAATTGTGCTAATTTGTTATTGAAAAAGATCAGTCTAATCCTTTTTTCATAATTTGCTAAAAGTACTATTTTAAAAGTTACAAAAACATTCGTCAGGTTTCGATTAATGTTGACGCTCTTATTTTATATGCAAGTCGTGCGAGCCGTTCAATTAATTAACAGTTTCAAACATAATTTTTGCCCGATCAATCAAAATTAATGTCCAAAGTTCATTTGAGATATTTTAGTGCCAAAAATCTATTAGTGATAAATAGACAATCTGTTGTTTCGTAATTCAAAATTTCGAATTTCTGTAATAGTTTCCAAAAATACTAATACTCGATACGTTTAGATATAATTTACCTTGATATATGATATTTGTTCGTGTTAAGAGCTATAATTTTTATTTTATTACTCAAATTGTTCTAG